CCCCATGTCAATAGCAAGTCATGCCAGTACAACCATTAGCTGGTTTCCAGGCCTCACTTACCCTCCCCTAACCTGGTGTCAATCAGGAGTGACATCCCAGCTTGGCCCTGCCCCCACAGCTTCCTGTCTCTCCCACAGTCTAGTTCCCCAAGCAGCTACAGTGCGCCCAAGTCAAGGCCTGCTCTGAAAGAAAATGCCGCCAGGTGTACGGAAACCTGATCACCCACAACATGTTATGCGCTGGGGTGCCAGAAGGGCAAATTGATTCCTGCCAGGTACCGGGGGGCAGTGCTGGGACCCCAGTGGGGCAGAGCAAGAAGTGATGGGCCCCACCAATAAGAGAACAAAAATGCCATCCACTGGTGACAGCAGTGGTGCCCAGCCCACCACTCCACCATCCCACCCCCCACAACACCCTACCCCCGCACAGTGGTGGCTCTGAGCCCTGCAGCTACAAGGAGGGAGACAGGAGTCAATTCATGAGTGGATCCAGGATGTTGAAAAGGGGGGTGCAGATGGCATATAGCATCGTCACATATAACACGGCCCATTTTTCTTCCATCAAATCGAAACTAGAAGCTTTAGTAATGTGCTAGGGAGTAGCGCTATAATATTCAGCTTAAGACCATAGCAAGAATACAACTGTCCCCACATGCACAAGTTTTCCTAGATCAGATATAACCTTTAAGACTAGGCAAAAAATACCCCCAAAAATATGGCCTCTTTAGGCCTGCGATTATTCTAATCAAACATCCAGACTCAAAACAAAAATCTAGCTTTCTAAAGTCTCTGGACAGTGCCCCCAACCCTTCATTGCCAGTTATTTCTGCATCTGAGCTCATACGACTGCACCTGAGCTAAGGAGTGGAAAAAAAGAAAAATGAGAGACATGACCAGACTGGCTGCCAGACAGCAACAGGGCAGGAGAAAGGATAGCTTGAATAGTGGAACATCAAGACCATTAGCAATGGAGAGGGTCGTTAACCCCTGTGGAGAGATTCACAGGAACACTGCTTGAATAGAAATGCCACGGCCCCTTCCCGATACACCCCAATTGGGTCAATTTAGTTTGTGGGTTGATCCTTTCTTTTTGTTCATTGACTGGTTGGGTCATTTGATTGGTTTTGGGCGAAGTGGGGGTGCTGTGGAATTTCCATCAGCTGTTTTCTGGGGCTTAGGGGTGTTCAGCTGGGTTTTTTGTTGTGGGCCTTTGGGTGTTTTGGGGGTTCATAGGGAAATTTTAATTACATGATTTTGTTAATTAGGTTGAATTGGTTGGGTTTTGGGATTCTCCAGGCATTTTTATTGGTCGTTTTTTAGGGGGTTTTGGTGGGTTATTTTTCTTTTGTTTCATCTGTTGGTTGCTTGCTCTTGTGTATAATTTTTTATTGGTCCTTAGGAAACATTTGGCAGGGGTTATGAGGTTAGGTTGTTTTATGTTTGGGGGGGGTCGTTTGGTTCTTGGGGAGTTTTTGTTGGGCTTTTTAGTGTTTTTTTGGCTTTTTGCGTATTGGGGTTTTTGGGGGGCCTTAGTGAATGTTTGTTGGTTGCTTTTTATGAAGGTTGGGTTGTTTTGGGTGGTTGTGAGGGTCTTTGGGAGTTTGACTACGCCAATGCTGCCTAAATAGAAATGTTGCCGCCCCTTCCAACCAATTGGTTCTAAAGTTTGGGTGAAATGGGAATCAGAGAAGGGTGAGAGGCAATTATATGCCTGCCCCCCCAGACCTGCCCCTACATTCCACTGGGAGGAGCAGGGCAGGGGACGAGATGTGCTTACTCCATCTATGGTGCCCCAGTGGGGTAGGCGGAGCCTGGACCTATCCTGTAATCCCTTCCTAGGGGATCCTGTCTTCGGGGTGGGGGGGAATCTCTCTCTCGCGACAGGGTGACTCTGGGGGACCCCTAACGTGCAACAGGGTGTTGTAGGGCATCGTGTCCTGGGGGTTGGAGGCATGTGCCAAGCCTGGGTTTCCTGGCGTCTACACTAAAATCTGCAACTACATGGACTGGATCAGGAATGTCACCCAGGAAGACTGTCACAAGAGCAACTAGTGGGTGGGTGGATAGATGGATGGACAGGGGGCAGGAACAGTGGTGAGGTAGATGTTATAGCGGGGCTAAGCTGGCTCAGGGAGAGGGACCAGGGTACCCCAGCCCTGCTGGTGCCCCTCACTCCCAACCCAAATTCCCCCTACCTCCGTGATCCTGTCAAGGCCCCTCACTCCCAACTGCAGCCCCTCACCCCCACCCCCTGCCAAGAAACACTCACCTTAGACCCACTATCATCACCATAAACCCCCTTCCTCCCCTCCACTGAACAGCTGTATAGCCAAGACACCTTGCTGCCCATCACCCCAGTGTCTAGGCCCGGTCTCAGCTCTCAACACATCCGTCCCCCACTAAAGGTCCCACGTCTGCCCCACCCCAAACCAGCTCCAGCAACACACATGGACCAACTTGAAAAACATCTCATGAAGAGATTGGGAATAAAGAGATGACCCTGATCAACCAGAACAACTCTGGGGCCATTTCCTTGTACTCTCCATCCCAAAAGAAGCTTTGTGGTTTGGCCTTATAGGAGATTCGAACCCATGAGGCCAATACATTGGCTCAGGGGCCTTCTGAGCCCAGCAGCAGATGGAAATACCATATTTCCCTATGTAGATCAGAGAGAAGCAGGGCTGGAAGGGACCTCCAGAGTTCACATGTAGTCCAACCCCATGCCTGAAGTACAATCATGCCTATCCAAACCATCCTGTACAACCTATAAATCACAGAACCATGGCCGGAAGGGACCTCCAGAGGTCACATCTAATCCAATCACCTGTGTGAGGTAGGATCATTCCTATCCAAACGATCCTTGAGAAATCCATTGTTCAATCTCTTAGTAAAGCTACCATCAAACCTAGAACCTGGGAAATAAGAGAAGTCAGGCTGGATGGGACCTGCTGAGATCATAGTCATTGTCATAGAGAAGCAGGGCTGGAAGGGACCTCCAGAGGTCCCAACTAGTCCACCTCCCTGCCCGAGGTAGGATCAGCACTGTCCAACCATCCTATATGATCCATAATCATAGAGAAGTCAGGCTGGAAGGGACCTGTCAAGGTCAGAGAGACAGTCATGGAGAAGTAGGTTTGGAAGGGACCTCCAGAGGTCACATCTAGTCAAGGCCCCTGCACAATCCATCATCTAAACTCTTAGGAAAAGTAGTTTTGCTAAACAGAGTTTAGACTATGGATTTGTCTGGCATGGGTTGGTTGGATGACCCTGCTTTAGGCCAGGGGTTGGACTAGATGTGACCTCTGGAGGTCCTTTCCAGCCTTGCTTCTCTATGACTCTACGACCAGGACTCTGTGGCTGACTCTACCTTTGCAGGTCCCTTCCAACTTGACTACTCTACGATTATAGATTTGTGTAGGAAGGTTTGGATAGAGAGGATCCTGCTTCAGGCAGGGGGTTGGACTAAATGTGACCTTGGCAGTCCCTTCCTGCCCTGCTTCTCCATGATTCTATGAATGACAATAAGGCAAGCAATCCAGTTTTGGAGAACTGAATTCTGGGGGGGGGGGGGGTGGGGGG